GATGCTGACTTTAGTTAAACTGCTTTAGAAACAATGTTAAATGAGCCCTAATATTGTGAATCACAAATTAGAGATGCACTCTGCACTGTAAGCGGTCTTTGAAATAATACCGATTTTGTCTCAAAGTGGTAAATCGTAAACCTGTTTATGACTGATGTTCCAATAAGATATGACTGACACGGCAATGTCTATCTATATTTTGTTTGGAAACAGCTGTTATTTTAGTTACCACATCAGAGTCATGTTGTTTGAATCATGAGGTACTATAGATTTGGACATCTGTTGCAGTCTGGAGATACCCTGTGATGTTATCCGGAGAGAAGATGAAATGGTATGGACCCAGATGAAGAACAGAACAATCGGATGATACCAAGACTTACAACAGTAAATCTACAACAATAGCATAATTTGGACTTTGTTAACCACAATAATCATTGGATCATTAAGGATTATGATCTTGACATTGTGTCACATTGACACTTGATTATAAAACGATAACGGACTTTATTGTGTCATATTGATACGTTAATCTTCAACAAGAATGGACTATTGTGTTATATTAACATGTGTTTTAGAAATCACTGACATGATAATTGAGCAATCATCGGGACGAACATGTTTTAAAGGAGGGGGCAATGTAACAAACCTAAATTGTGTTTCAATGACTGCTGTTTATGTTCATCAAGGTAATTATACTGTTTATGTGCAGTATTTCACTGTGCATGATCTATTATTGTTAACCTTACTCTCTTTGCTTAAATCAAACAGCAACATGTATTTATATGTATATACAACCAAGTTTGTCTGATGAAAACTATTTAAGTGGCAACTTCTCAGCATAACTGGCTGTTTATTGGTTGTTTAACATTTCTCTTGTGAGTTTGGTATTCAACATCAACTTTTCATTTAAATATCAGGTTTTTACTCAGCTCCAGGCAGTGCTGCTGAGATTTTCCTGAAAAGGTATCATACCTGCCAACCTAAGACCAAAATTTTGCGGTAGATTTTTTTAAAATTGCTGTATTTTTGCGGTAGATTTTTTCAAAATACGGTAGTTTTTGCGGTATTTTTCAACAAAATTGCGGTAGTTTTTGCGGTAGATTTTAGAAAAAAACGGTAGTTTTTGCGGTAGATTTTAAAAAATACGGTCGTTTTTGCGATAGATTTAAAAAATACGGTAGTTTTTGCGGTAGATTTTAAAAAAATACTGTAGTTTCAGAGGTTTGCGGTAGAATTTTGAAAAAGCGGTAGTTTTGCGGAAGATTTAGAAAAAATGCGGTAGTTTTACGGTAGATTTTTAAAAATGCGGTAGTTTTTACGGAAGCTTTTTGAAAAACTGGTAGTTTTGCGGAAAATTTTGAAAAATGCGGTAGTTTTACGGTAGATTTTGAAAATTGCGGTAGTTTTTACGGTATTTTTTTGAAAAACCGGTACTTTTGCCGAAGATTTCGAAAAAATACGGTAGTTTTACGGTAGATTTTGAAAATTGCAGTAGTTTTTACGGTAATTTTTTGAAAAACTGGTACTTTTGCGGAAGATTTGCCAAAATGCGGTATTTTTCGGTAGATTTTGAAAAATGCGGTAGTTAAACCTTTATACAATGCGGTTTTCTATATTAATACAATGTTTACGTGGTCATATTGTTGTTGTTATTGTGATTACATATTTTACTGCAAGAGTGCTTTTGATAATAACAGTTTGTAAAGCAGAACTACCACCTGAAATTATACGAAACTATTATTTTCAAGAAATAATAGATATACTATTTTCAAGAATAAATAGAGACTAAACACTTTTTATTCTTCATTTACCAATGGACTGACAGCAACTTTGGATTTTAATGTTTCAGCAACTCTTTTACAATAAATCTAGATTGATTCAAAATACGAACACAATATTCATATCTCCACTTTTATTCACCTTCTAACCATATTTTTTAGATATCAGGATGTTTGGAAATACCATGAATGAAACATTTACTGAAATACAAAATATGGATTTTACACATTTTTACTCACCATCTTAGATGATCTATCACTTTTACGAATTGAAATGACAGACATAATGTTCATATAACATTGGAATCATATGGTATTAAATATTGATTTGTTCACTCGCAAGTCTCTAATGATATCAATGTGTTTGTCTGGCACAAATAGAAAATAAGTACAGGTCAATTGTCTTTCAAAAATAATCTGTTATGAGCATTTGCTGAAACCTTTCCCCTGAGACATCGTTCAGATTCGGATATCACAATACTTTTATAATAAACCAGAACTCAATACTTTATTTTTTAATTATGTATTTGTTACTGATAATGTGTTCTGATGAAAAATACAACATTTTATCGTTCTGTAAACAAATTGATTAAACTATGTATAATGTATATGTGGCGTTCATTACTGATCATAACAAATCAAACTACGCATATTTCATACGCTAAATATGCATACGCATTTCCACTCATTTATTTAGATGAAGCGCAACTAAAATCATATTTTTGTTGCATTCGGAATAAAGATCTGTGTACAAAAGGGTTTGGTTAACTACAAAGATCATGGCAGAAAGAATTCTTTCTAGCAAATGGTAGTTGGTGTTTGGACTGATTACACGCAAGGTTACTTAGATAAATGCGCAATAACCTGATAACCACAGACCTGCCGATACCTATTTATATTCGGGTTGGTGAAGGAATATTACAGGGACAGTACAGGAAGACTTCAATTTTCAGCATTTCTCAATAACAATAACGGGAAATTTTACGGTAGTTTGAACAAAAATACTGTTGATTTTAGCAGAAATACGGTAGATTTTCGAAAATTTACGGTAGATTTTCAAAACTTTACGGTAGATTTTACGGCCGTTCTCATGGAATAAATGAGTTTTTTAAAAAGAAAATTTACGGTAGATTACGAAAAAAATACGGTAGATTTTTTTACGGGCGTTTTTACGGGAAAAAAATGGTATTTTTTTACGGTAGTTTGTCATTTTTTTACGGAAAAACGAAAAATTTACGGTAGATTCCCGTAAAAATACGGTAGGTTGGCAGGTATGGGTATGGTGTTTTTCTAACTTTCAAAGCCAAGGCCACGGTATGGATAGATTGTCTGTTTGGAAAAGGGATAAATTGCCTTCAAGACTTCAATTTTGGTTCTATCACGTGTGTTAATGTGTTATAAGTGTTTATTAATCCAATCACAGCCAATTACTTTCAAATTGCTTTTAAGCAATTAGTTAAGATTTTACCCATAATTTCTAATATGGTCTTCATTTTCTTCATTTCGCCTATCAATGTAACTATTCTAAAGTCTTATCGAGTGTCTAGCCCATCAGTCTTCAGATTCTTCAGTTCTTCTTCAGATTCTTAAATTATTCTTCAACTTCTTCAACCCTTAGCTTTATTCCATTATAACACCATTTGCCTTAGCCCGCAAACCCCAATTGAAAAAAGCCTATGGAAAATCATCTCCAATTATCACATGCAAATGAGCTAATTATCAACTTAATTAACGCTTAATTTGCAACTTAATTAACGATTAACTACCATCAATATGCAAATGAGCTATTTACGTAAATTAGTTGAAAGTTAGTTTTAAGTTTGATGTAAGTTAATCTCTAATTATCACCTAACTTACTATTGATAATTAGTTGAAAGTTAGGTTTAAGTCAGATTTGTGACATCTCAAAAATGACTTGCTTCTTTTTTTGCTTCCCTTCACTCGGAGATTTTTGCTTCATCTTGAACTATTTTGTGACGGAATATTCATCTTAATTAGGATCTTTCAGAACAGACAACATTGAACTTGAACTATTGAAATTTCACAGCAAGAGGAGGGAAAACCCCATGATTCAATTGATGACATACGATTTCCTCCTTCGCACACCTCCTTTTGTCGAAAACATACCCTCCATCTTGGTTTTTAAAGTTTTCAAATTGACCTAGTTTTAAACCAATCAACGATCGACTCGCTAAACCAATCAGCGACGATGTCATCTCAATACAGATTTACATTATAAGCGTATGTCATCTTTGAACCCTGGGGTTTCTCCCCCTCCTTTTTAAAGCTATTCTATTTTGCAAATTTTTAAGATTCATGAAAAGCATGTGAAAATCATTATTGCCATCAACAACTAAAATCAGAACACAAACATTAAACTGTAATGTTACATAATAAGGACGTAACAGATATAATCAAAAATATGTTTTTAAATGTCTTTGATCTAACAATCATTATTTAGAAGAGCACATTTGGATTACTTGTGAAATATAGGTAACCCATGTTAGTACCTAAATTGCATTCTAGGATTAATATTATATGATCTGATTCAAAAATATTTTTAAATTCATAAACATTTCAGACAGAAGTGTGAATAAGATTTAACATACATTGTATTCATGTTCTACATACCCTTATAATAATGTTGACCAAATTTCATGGTAGTATACGCACCCTTCTAAATCATGGGCCTAATTTACGACTAATTATCATTATAATCATCCTATATGTTAACTATCAACCAATAATCTACTTCAGAACAAAAACGTTTTAATTTACCACTTACAATCACCCTCAAACATTTCATCTTAATTATCAACTAAAAATCATAAATCAGCATTATTGTAAGTTAATTTACGTTGAACTTGCTACTGATAATTAGGCCATAATTATCATTGATTTAATTAACGCTTAACTTTAATTCCAATTGCCAGCAGAATTGTTGATAATTAGTTGTAAATTAGTTGGTAATAAGTTGGTAATTAGTTTTATTTTTCAATAGGGACACCATCTACTATTTGTAACTTCATACATCTTCAGATACTAATACATATACATTATTGCATTATTTTAAACAGAACTTATTTCTCATGTTCACATTTTATGGGTTTGTTAGCTTGAAATCCCTACAACTAAAGTACTCTTCATGTTACAGTAAGACCCTAATACACCATTTTGGTACCAAAATAAACTACTTTTACTGGCTTGCCACGTTCAGAATTAAAGGGAATGTATTTTACAATAATTTATGAGGTTTTAACAGTCAATAATGAAAACAACTGTACAACCTTGACACATAATCAATAAAACAGGCATGTAAGACTTAACGCTTAAAGCTGTGAGACCCATTAGATTATTAGAACTCAAAATATAACCATGCATTTATGTCACAGAAACACAGTTTCACAGTTTTAATCTGTGCATATCCATATTGAAAACGCCAATCACATGGGCTTGAAAAGATAGCGGTTGTAAAGATATTGAAATATTATTTAGCTGTGTATTGAAGTACAGTATGTACTGCTAACTTACACGCCAGGAGTTCAGGTGCAACAATAATGAATACGCTGCTGCAGGCTCTTATTCTCTTCTTGGTATCGATGCTCCAGCTATGTTACAGCAAGCCACCAAACATTGTCTTCATTGTTGCTGATGATCTTGGTAAGTTAATATTTTCATTATAACTTTAAGCACGAAACTTCAAATAAAACGAGGAAAATGTTAACTATAAGAAAACAAAACTTTAAAGCTGCCACTCTGTCCTGAAATACCTCATCACATTTTCCTAGTTTACAACATTTGTAATGAACTCACATCTCATGTGCGAAACCTATAATAAAGATGCCCCTAAGCTGGCTATCTCTCTCTCTCGTATTTACTCTTTTTGACTGAAGACTGAATACTTGTCGTCTCTGCATCCTAAATTTGAATGAAGACCCAACTCTATTGAACTTCTGTGCATACCTCTTTGATTGAGGATCACTCTCCCAAATCTCTCTATTGAATTTCTCTCCCCTGTGCATACTATTTAAATGAAGATCACTCTCCTAAATCTCTCTATTGAATTTCTCTCCCCTGTGCATACCTCTTTGAATGAGGACCACTCTCCTAAATCTCTCTATTGAATTTCTCTCCCCTGTGCATACGTCCTTGAAGGAAGATCACTCTCCCAAATCTCTCTATTGAATTTCTCTCCCCTGGGCATACTTCTTTGAATGAAGATCATTCTCCTAAATCTCTATATTAAATTTCTCTCCCCTGTGCATACTTCTTTGAATGAAGATCACTCTCCTAAATTTCTCTATTGAACTTCTCTCCCCTGTGCTTACCTCTTTGAATGAAGATCACTCTCCTAAATCTCTCTATTGAATTTTTCTCCCCTGTACATACCTTTTTTGAATGAAGATCACTCTCCTAAATCTCTCTATTGAACTTCTCTCCCATGTGCATACCTCTTTGAAGTAGGATCACTCTCCTAAATCTCTATATTAAAGAACAGGTCCATTTAACAGACTATTGGTCCACTTAGACTTTTTCTGAAAAACTCATTCTTCCATTTACTTTTAAAACCGATTGCAAGTTGTAGATAAACCTTTCTTCTTGAGATGTGCAATTTCAAAAAGTGGCATAAGTTCTCCGTTTCTTTGAAAAATTGGCAGTAAGAACCCCTATCACAAGGCTGTCTGAATATGGGTACACATTATGTTTACCATCAAAATAATATCAAAACTTATCATTATATAGAATTTAATATATGGAACATATGGCATACACGTATTCGGAGAAGAAAATTGACAAAATCTGGAGATGTATGTAGTTTAACTATGCAAATCTAGAAAACATTGTCATTTTTCGTTCACTTTGTTATCAAGTTTTAGCATGGTGCTCATTCCCTTTCATTGAAAATTTAACCATCAGCCCACACTCCCACAAAAAATATATTGAAACTGTATAATGCAGAGACTGTAAAGTAGCTTCTCTGCAAATATCATTTTTTGTGGGAGTTTGGGCTCACCACTAAAACTTAACTTTTGTGATGAAAATAAGCCTGACTGGTTTATATTTTCAATATGGCTGCTAACCTGGGCATACATGTACACTACATAACTGCATGTACAGATTAGGCCATCCAAAATTAATTATATGTTGGCATTCTGATGAAGAGCCTGATATTAAAAACTACAAAACCTTCATTTATTTAAAGGGTTTTATATATTATTTAAGAGTGAAAATGCAATAGTACATTGTGCCAAAGCAAGTAACACACCTCTTGAGTTCAGATGACCTTGTTAATGAAGTTTATACACATGTAGTTTTTAATCAATCTTGGAACTTATTTCGCTACAATATAATCCACGATCACAATTCCCTTTGTCATTTATATACATTAAAAGTAGAGAGTACATGGGAACATTTTGTTTTTTCTGAAAACATAGAATTTAGTGACATTTTTATAAGAAAATATTTGAATGGCCTAAGTGTTTTTCTAAATAGGGAATAAGTAGAAATTATTTTAGGCAATCCTTTGAGTGTCATGTCATTCATAAATGATACTGCCTTATATTTTATGATATATATTGAAAGAGGATTTCTCTGAATGATTTGTGTTTCAAATATGGGAGCTGCAAATTGGCAAATAACTTTAAAAGTAAGTGTACATTCAAACATTTTAATTTCAAATGCCAAATAAAATGCCAAATGCCAATGGGCATTTAGTAAAAGTGACCCTATAACTATTTAGAATATGGCAAACATGTTTAGAAAACTGGCGAGAAGCAAATGAAATAAGAAAATCCATTCTTTTTGAAGTGCCCTTGTGTGCATTTAATTTCAGTCATGTTATCCTAATTGCCCATGGGCATTTAAAATAATAATCACATCCCAACTCTTAAAACATGCTTAGTAGGATACTGTTAGCGTCTCAAAAGGCAACAAGAACATTCATTTTTGGAACAAGAAAATTTAGTCCCCCTAAAAATGCCCATATCGGTATTTATTCTCAAGATTTTCAGGTAATTGCCCGTGATAATTGATCAAAATTTTTTTTTATTCTTATTCACATGTCTTTTTATCAGTCACAATCAAAATAAAGCCAATTGCTCTCATTTCTTGGATTAGAAACAGTAAAATTTTGACAAAAATAGCTACTCTCAAAGTTGACCTTTAAACCACCCTAGTGTCAAGGTCAAATGTCAAAACTCTCAGAAATCACATTTTAAGTAATGAGTCATACTTCCTCTTCAATTCCATGTCAATATATACTTGTTTTGTAGGGGGGCTAAAAGAGGGGTTTACCGCCACCTGTCCTTTCTCTCCCCTGTGCATACCTCTTTGAATGAAGATCACTCTCCCAAATCTCTCTATTGAACTTCTCTCCCCTGTGCATACCTCTTTGAATGAAGATCACTCTCCCAAATCTCTCTATTGAACTTCTCTTCCCTGTGCATACCTCTTTGAATGAAGATCACTCTCCTAGATCTCTCTATTGGACTTCTCTCCCCTGTGCATACCTCTTTGAATGAAGATCGCTCTCCTTAATATCTCTATTGAACTTCTCTCCCCTGTGCATACCTCTTTGAATGAAGATCGCTCTCCTTAATATCTCTATTGAACTTCTCTCCCCTGTGCATACCTCTTTGAATGAAGATCACTCTCCCAAATCTCTCTATTGAATTTCTCTCCCCTGTGCATACCTCTTTGAATGAAGATCACTCTCCTAAATTTCTCTATTGAACTTCTCTCCCCTGTGCATACTATTGGAATGGAGATCACGGTCCTAAATCTCTCTATCATATCCAGCAATCGTAATGTTAAATAGGACATCACCTTATCTCCTAACTGGTACTATTACTTTTTATTACTTATTTCGTATCAACACTTTAGTCTACTAAATTAATGTTTAAAACTCATATATGTGAGCGTTAATGCAGGGACATTTCATACAAGCTATAAACACCGCCCTTTCATCTAATGTGTTTTCTGGTTTCCTTAATTTCGCCAATTTCGCAAGAAATTGATGGATAATTTCAAGATTATATGATCAGACACATAAACATGGCATATACCACATACGTTTCTCATATTTAGTTGTTGTTTTTTAGTTGTTCTCTCTTTTGATTTCCTCTCCCCTGTGCATACACCTTTGAATGAAGATCGCTCTCCTAAATCTCTCTATTGAATTTTTCTCCCCTGTGCATACCTCTTTGAATGAAGATCACTCTCCTAAATCTCTCTATTGAACTTCTCTCCCCTGTGCTTACCTCTTTGACACTCTCCTAAATCTCTCTATTGAATTTTTCTCCCCTGTGCATACCTCTTTGAATGAAGATCACTCTCCCAAATCTCTCTATTGTATTATTCTCCCCTGTGCATACCTCTTTGAATGAAGATCACTCGCCTAAATTTCTCTATTGAACTTCTCTCCCCTGTGCTTACCTCTTTGAATGAAGATCACTCTTCCAAATCTCTCTATTGAATTTCTCTCCCCTGTGCATACTCGTTGAATGAAGATCACTCGCCTTAATTTCTCTATTGAACTTTTCTCCCCCGTGTATACCTCTTTGAATGAAGATCACTCTCCTAAATCTCTCTATTGAACTTCTCTCCCCTGTACATACCTCTTTGAATGAAGATCATTCGCTTAAATCTCTCTATTGGACTTCTCTCCCCCGTGCATACTCTTTGAATGAAGATCACTCTCCTTAATATTTCTATTGAATTTCTCTCCCCTGTGCATACCTCTTTGAATGAAGAATGAAGATCACTCTCCTAAATCTCTCTATTGAACTTCTCTCCCCTGTGCATACATCTTTGAATGAAGATCACTCTCCTTAATATTTCTATTGAATTTCTCTTCACTGTGCATCTCTTTGAATGACGATCACTCTCCGAAATCTCTCTATTGAACTTCTCTCCCTTGTACATACCTCTTTGAATGAAGATCACTCTCCTAAATCTCTCTATCGAATTTCTCTCCATTATATATACCTCTTTGAATGAAGACCACTCTCCTAAATCTCTCTATTGAACTTCTCTCCCGTGTGCATACCTCTTTGAATGAAAATCACACTCCAAAAGCTCTCTATTGAACTTCTCTCCCCTGTGCATACCTCTTTGAATGAAGATCACTCTCCTAACTCTCTCTATTGAATTTTTCTCCCCTGTACATACCTTTTTTGAATGAAGATCACTCTCCCAAATCTCTCTATTGAATTTCTCTCCCCTGTGCATACCTCTTTGAATGAAGATCACTCTCCTAAATCTCTCTATTGAACTTCTCTCCCCTGTGCATACCTTTTCTGAATGGAGATCACTCTCCTAAATCTCTCTATTGAACTTCTCTCCCATATATTAGTCGAGGCTTAAACAAAGCAACGAAAATGGTATGAAACCTTTTGTGAAAATACGAACGATTTTTTCAAGAATCCTCCTTCAAAGTGTTACTTAAGTGCTCCCGGAGTGGAAATTTCGCATTGTGCAATCAAAATAATAGAGGGTGGTTTGAATTTTTGTTTGAATGTATAGCTTACATCTATTTTAAAAAAGTGTCACCTCTTTGAGAGGAACATGAAGATTTTGGCGAACTATCGTTATAAAAGGCTAAATATTGTGCAAAAACAGGATTAAATCGTTAACGGTTAATTTGTATTCCAAGAAACTTA